TAAGTCGACTGAAAGGATTAACAATAAAACATATATCATTCTTTAGTGCTTCATTAGTAGGGGTTAGTGCCTCAATCACATTTGTAGCCGAAATTAAGAATAAAAAGTCATTAGCGAAAAAAAAAACAAATAAAGGTGACATACCAAAACAATAACCATAAAAGCAATAAAAATTTAGTATTCCCCAATATTTAGTGCTTAATTAAAATATTTAAATTCCTTTAGTAAACCGCTTTATAAAAAAAGTTATAAGCTATATAAAAATCATGACGTCACAATTTAGGCGTGAAGTTGGCCGAACGATTGGAAGCACTAACAATGAAACTTATATCATTCTTTAGCGCTTTATTGGTAGAGCTTAGTGCTTTAATTAATTTAGTAGCCCTTATTAAAATAAAAAAGTTATTAAAGAAAAAAGCAAAAATAAACAACAAATGGCGGCTTGCCAAAACAAAAACTATAGTAGTATTAAACTTCCGTTTTCCCCATTATTTAGTGCTTAATTAGTAAATATTAATTCCGTTATTAATTTAATTAACCTTATAAAAAAGTTATAAGCTAAATAAAAGTTATCAGCAATTTAGGCGTGAAGTTGGCCGAACGATTGGCGATGAAACACCATTCTTTAGTGCTTCGTTAGTAGAGATTGGTGCTTCAATCAGTTTAAATAGCTCCAGTTAAAGCAAAAAAAAAGTTATTAAAGAAATAAAAAAATAAACAACAAATGGCTGCAAACCAAAACAGAAACTATAGTTGTACTAAACATCCGGTTTTGGCCATTATATAGTGCTTAATTTGTAAATTTAAATTCCGTAATTAATTTGGTTAACAGCCTAAATTAAAAATAGTTATACGCTAAAAAATTGCTTGGAGGTAAACTTTTGGCCAGCGAAATTATGCAAGCACTAACGATAAACCTTATGTCATTTTTTAGGTTTTCGTTAGTAGATATTATTGGTGCTTTAATTTGTTTAGTAGCCCCACTCAAATTAAAAAAGTTATTAAAGAAAAAAACTAAAATAAACAACAAATGGCGGCTCCCCAAAGCAAAAACTATAGTAAACATCCGGTCACGCCATTATTTATTGCTTAATCACTAAATTCAAATTCCGTAAAACAATAGTTATTATATGATTACGAAATGTACTGAGGTCACATTTTGGAAGATTTAACGATGGAATTTTTATCATTCTTTAGTGCTTTAGTTGAGATATATCTCTCTATTTGACAAATTTCTATCATATATATATTTTATATTATAATTATATACAAAATTTAAGAAAATAAAGAATTTATTTTAAGGTTAAAGAAAAAGAATTTATTTTAAAGTTCTTACATATTACAAAGTAAGTAAAGAAAAATTAACAATGTAAGAAAATAAAATTTTGTTTTAAGGTTAATCAATTTACAAAATTTATATTCAAATAATCTTTGAAACATTTTAAAATTTTATACTTAACATTTCCCTCTTTTTTTAAAGATTTCCCTCTCTTGACTTCAGTCCTTAGTTGATCATCCTATCTATTTCTCTAGTATTTATTTGCTTGTAATGCATGAGTTTGTTTGTCAGATGGATCGTTTGTTGAATCATCGTTGTTTGATGTTTGTATTTGATCATTTATTTCCATTTCGCTTTCAAAATTTTATATTTTATATCAAAAAAAAAATTTTATTCATTTATTTATAATAAAAAAATTTTCTAGGTCGTAAGTTATAATTTCGATCTCGATACTTCACTTCTCCCCCCCCCCCTCTAAAAATTTGTCTGCTCCCTATAGTAGTATTTTGTACGATAATTTCCCATCTTTATCTATTACGATTCCTTTCTCCCATTATTTTCTTTGAAATTTTTGCACCAATTCGTTGATTAACATTTTTGCCATAGTTTCGTTGGTTTGTTCGAATCGCTAGCTTGTTATCCTGATCGTCTAATCATCCTCTTGATCATCATCATCACATTAGCTTGTTGATCTCGTTATTTATTATCAAATTGTTCTTTATAAAATAATTTTTCTTTAGCCTTCCATTTTTAACATATGATCTACATATCACATCCTTAAAAACTTTTCTAACATCAAGATATTTAACATTTACCTTGCCTTTCTTTATAATATTTCTTTTAAATTTCCTTTTTCTAAATTTTTTATCATTTTTAATATTAATTATAAAAGTTTTTATTTTATTATTTTCTTTAATTGTTTATATCATTATTTTCTTTAATCACAATTATTTCTTTAAATTTTATCATATAATTTATCTCTTTTAGTTTATAAGAATCTATTTGATTTTGAACTTTAGCATCCTTCTTAATTTCTTCATTAATAAATTCTGTATTATCTCAAAATCTTTAGTAGTGATTCTCATATTATTTATTATTTTAGTACGATATATATCGATTTTTTTTTTACTACATTAAAAAATTTTCTATTTCTTATTATATATTTGTAAAATGTCTAATTCTTTCAAAACCAAAATATTTATTTTATATATATATTTTAAAAAAAGAAAAAGAATCCTAGTTTCAAAATTTGTCTAGCCGAGGCTAAACAGAAATAAATTTCAAAAATAAGACAAATCAGGACACGGCTGTGTGGCTGAATTATAAATACTATTTATTTTTTTATAATAGCAGAATAACATATAATACAATATATTTTATTTGAAATATATAGGATAATTTATAATTCACAATTTCTGTTTTCACAAATGCCATATTTTATATAGGAGCCAGGGCTATGACTTCACGCTTAAATCATGACGTCATAACTTTTATTTTGCCTATAACCTTTTTTTTATAAGGCTGTTAACCAAATTAATAACAATATAAATATATAAATCAAGCCCTAAATAATGTGGGAAAAAAATGATTTTCGTTGTTCTAGTTTTTGTTTTGGTGGTCGGCCATTTTTTTGATTATTTCGTTAATAACTTTTTATTTCAATTTCGGCTACTGAATTGATTAACGCACAACCTATACTTACGAAGCACCAAAATATAATATAAGTTTTATCGTTGGTGTTTACATAACTTCGTGGGCCAAATGTGACCTCGAATCATATTTTTAGCGTATAAATTTTTTTTAAATAAGCGGTTAACTAAATTAATTATGTTATTTGAATTTGCAAATTAAGCACAAATAATGGTAAAGCAAAATGTATTTACCTACTCTATTTTTTGTTTTGATAGGTCACAATTTTTTGATTATTTTGTTAATACTTTTTTATTTTAATTTCGTCTATTAAACTAATTAACGCACCAACCTCTATTAACTAGGCACTAAAGAATGATATGAATTTTATCGTTAGTGCTTCCATAATTTTGCGGGGCAAAATTTGATTTCTAAACATCTCATTATATTTAATAATATTTTACTACAAATATAATTTTATTCAGATAAACTTTTCTTTATTTTTCAATAATAAATTCCAACACTATAATAATATAAATCCCTATTTACAATAACTATTCATATAAACGAAGTAAAATTTAAGTTTTCCAAAATATAAAAAAAATTAATTAATGATTACATATCATAAAAATAATATATATTTAATATCTATTTATTGATTGACATTTTCATTTATCAATAATTATTTTAAATCTAACAATATTTATTTACCAATAAAATAAAATATATGTTAAATATACATCAACTAGTTGATAACCCATCAAAAATGACGGGGATGAGAATTTTATTCATTCTTTTACGATAATTCTTTTTACCCCTCCCCCTCCTCCTTCAGGCCAATTCCAACCCATTAAGACTAAGAGAGAGGAATTGTCTTTTTTATTCAATGATTGATGAATAATATATTTTACCTTTATTTGATGATGGATGAATCAGACATTTTCCTTTTTATGAGATGTGATTTCGAAATTTATATTTTAAATTACAAAAATGAAACAATATCTCTTATTAGCACCCTAAATACTAACATTATTTACCAGAGCTCCTGTTAGTCAGAATTACTGTTCACTCCCCACCGCGTGAAGGTAGGAGATGGATTTTAGGGGAGCAAAGAAATGAAAAAAAGAATGAAAATAAGAAGGAAGAAATAGAAAAAAAGAGACAAAGATATGAATTATAAGAAAATATAATAAATATTTATACTTCAAGAGTTGATGATTATCGGGTTACAACACATATGCATTTGTAGCCATATAATATAAAAAAGGAGATTTCAATCTCTTTTCTTTGCTCAAGGTGGTTTCGTTTTTGAAGATGATGTTGTGATTTCCTTGCTTGTAGTTTGTCGTAAATAACCTGAAATAAAACGTGTAAATTGAAATTATAAAATAGAATATACTGTTGTTGGTGAGGAAGATGGTTTAGCGATGGTGAAGAAGTTCTCTTTTCTTTGCTCAAGGTGGTTTCGTTTTTGAAGATGATGTTGTGATTTCCTTGTTCGTAGTTTGCCGTAAATAACCTGAAATAAAACGTGTAAATTGAAATTATAAAATAGAATATACTGTTGTTGGTGAGGAAGATGGTTTAGCGATGGTGAAGAAGTTCTCTTTTCTTTGCTCAAGGTGGTTTCGTTTTTGAAGATGATGTTGTGATTTCCTTGCTCGTAGTTTGCCGTAAATAACCTGAAATAAAACGTGTAAATTGAAATTAAATAGAATATACTGTTGTTGGTGAGGAAGATGGTTTAGCGATGGTGAAGAAGTTCTCTTTTCTTTGCTCAAGTTGGTTTCGTTTTTGAAGATGATGTTGTAATTTCCTTGCTCGTAGTTTGCCGTAAATAACCTGAAAAAAAACGTGTAAATTGAAATTATAAAATAGAATATACTGTTTTTGGTGAGGAAGATGGTTTAGCGATGGTGAAGAAGTTCTCTTTTCTTTGCTCAAGGTGTTTTAGTTTTTGAAGATGATGTAAAGTTGGTGATTTGATGGTGAATAACAAAGTTGGTGACTTTTTTAAATTTCTTACAAATTATGAATTTAAGATTTTATTATATACGATATTTTGTGTGAATGTTTTATCATTTTTTAAAATTTATCCTTGTAATTCTGATGGCAAAATCATAATTTTCATATTATTTTGAGATTTACATCTAGTAAGAGCCACATATAGTTGTCCATGGGCAAAGACGGGCTCAGGGAGGAATAAGCCTACATGATCAAAAGTTTGTCCTTGACTTTTATTTATTGTAATCACAAAAGCGGGAATTATAGGAAACTGTCGTCTTTTTAAAGTAAATGGTAACTGAGAGTCACTAGGAGATAGATCTATTCGTGGGAGAAAAACTCGATAACCCTTATTAGTGCCTGTCAATACCTCAGCGTCGATAAAATTAATATGTAAATGTCGTATGATTAAACGGGTACCATTACAAAGTCCTTTCTTTGGGCTCAAGTTGCGTAATAGCATAACAATTGTACCAACCTTAAGTGTTAGCTTGTCAGGTGGCATACCGGATGGAGTTTGTGAATGCAAAAATTCTAGTGGAAAATTCATTATATCATCCTTATTATCGCTTTCAATGGAATCTGCACTATAATAATGTTTGATAGGGCCTGAAATTATATTAATGATATCGTTGTTGAGGGTAAGTGCAATTTTATTTTTGGTGGTTAATATTATTTTGTAGAAAGACTATCTATATCAGCAATTTCTATAGAATTACCATACTCACATTTTATTAATGAATCATTTTCAAGCAAATAAGGTGGGATTTCAACACTATTTGTAGGAAGATCAGAATTGCTGCGTGATAGCCCATCTCCAATTTTAAGTAACCAAGCATTGTATTCAACTTGATCTGATGAAATACTCATATTATCAATCAAATGTATTATTTTAAAATGACTCCATAAATATGAACTTTTTATACAGGACTCTATAATATCGACTTTGGAGCCTTTAGGCACTACTGGTAAAGTCTGTCTAAAATCACCACCTAAAAAAATTACTTTTCCGCCAAATGGGTGGGAATTTTTCATAATGTCTTTAAGTAATCGGTCATTGCATCGCAAAGCGTGTTTAGTCATCATTGTGGCCTCATCAATAATAATCAATTTGCTATTTTTAATATCTAGAGCTAGCGAACTATGTAAATTCATATGGGATGTAGAAGTTTCAAAGATAGGCACAGGTAATTTAAATCCGCTATGGATGGTTCTTCCCCCCTTTAAAAGAATAGAGGATATGCCGGTGGTTGCAAAAGGCAATACAATTTGATTTTTTGCTCTTATATAACACATTAAGGTATTGTAAAGATACGTTTTACCTGAACCTCCAGGGCCATCCACGAAGAAATATCTTTCTGGAATATTTTCTAATTCAATCGCTTGTATAATTAAATCAAAAGCATATTTTTGTAATCGGTTTAATTTAGATATACGCTCGATTGAATCGGCAGCTTCAACATGGGCATCATAATGTTGTTTTGGGGGGATTTTTGTAGGTGAAGGAAGATCAAAACTTTGACAGCATAAACCATGATCAAGAAAAACGTTTTCAATGTCCATTAAAGCCATGTTTATTGCAATTACTTCTGAATATTGACGCAAATAATCTTCAATCATCATATTTCTTGATACGACAAAGTGCCTGTCTCTTTCTAGCTTTCTCCTTATGTTGATTTATTATTAAAATTTAAAAATATAAGAATTACTCAATTTTATAAAAATAAGTTTAGTTTAAAATATTTATTATTGTGGACATAAAATAAAATTATTAAATATATACTTCATAAACATATTTATAAAAAATAATGGAAAATATTAGAATAGCCCCTCACCTAATAAATATATATTTCGGAATCACATCTTAAAAATATAAAATTTACTCTTGTTGAAGCAATAATGCCTTCTTTAGATTTTGGTAGTATGAAACGTTCCATTGTTTGGTTTTGTTGAATGGTATCTTGTGTAGGAATCTAAAAAAAAATAATAAAATAGATTTTAATGGCCCACAGTAATGTTCAACTTGTTCTTGATTTTCAGTATCTTCAAGATTAAGATGTGTAAATTGAAAGTATATGGTTTTGCTCGATGTGGTGTCTGTTAAAAAATATAATTATTTACTGATGATTGAAGGTTTTGCTCGATGTGGTGTCTGTTAAAAAATATAATTATTTACTGATGATTGAAGGTTTTGCTCGATGGTGTGTCTAAAAAATATCAATTATTGTAATTATTATATTATTATATGTTTTGTAATTGTTTTTTGTATTGAAATTCTTTTTTTGAAAATGGCGGTTCGATTTGGTTTATGAATGCGTGTTTGATATGTTTAAGCTATAATGATTTTTATTGAATATATATATTATAGATTTGAATTCCTTAGTTCTTGTAGGATTATCTGCAAACATTTTTTTCATACTAATGTTCCTTCCTGCCTATTGCCTCAAAATACTTCTGAAATGCTTTCCATGATTTATAGGAGATTAAATCCATTTTGCTAATATGATCTAAATTGGCTTAAAATTGCTATGATAGATAGATAGATAAATTATAGATATATAGAAAGAACAATATATTTGACATCAATTAAGACAAAATATTTACATTTCAACTTAGAAATATAATGCTATTTAAATAAAATATAATATTATAGATGGCGCTAAATATCATGGAGATGAAAACTACAATTTAACATAACTTAAATACTTCCGAATTTGTTAATATTAATTAAATATTATTAAGAATCACTCCCTATTTAAGTAGGACAAACGTCCAATAATTAATAAAGAAGTTGAATATTACATAATATATTAACAAAATTATAATTGACTATTATCAGGTAAAATAATTGACTATATAAAGTCACAGTTGTGACTGCTATAATCATTTTGATTTGACGAATAATATTTAAAAAAAAACTATTGGCTAAATTTGATTGACATTTTTTGAGGATTATATATATAGATTAGCTTAAAACTTTTTTCTATAAAGCGGTAAACCAAATTAATAATGGAACTCTAATTTATTTATTTTTTTCATCATTTTTTTATTTTATATTAAAAAATTAAAATAACTATTTATAAAAATTTATATAATTACTAAATAAAAATAAATATATCGAAGGCTCTAAAAAGAGCTTAATTTAATAATGAATATGTTCCTAAAAAACAAGTATAATTATGTTTAAAAATATCTAGTTGAGTTTTTGTTTAAGAAATATGAATTCGCGGTTTTCGTTTGTTATATTAAAAATTTTCCGCTATAAATTTTTTAAAAAAAGTATGTAGACTGGGAAGTTGATATGACTATTGGCTGAAATATAATATTATTGAATTTTGAATATTTATCAATTTTCTTATTTTCCCTACTAGAGAGGGTTTGAATTAATTGATGAAGGAAAGGAAGACACGCAGGTTGCGTCCCAAATAAGGGATTTACCGTTGGACCAGGGGGTACAGGTTAAACCGTCGGGTCTAAGGCCGTCCTGTAATTAAAGGTTGGTAGGTTCGAGGATGTTGGGTATTTTAGCCATATTAAAAGTGTTATGGATGATTTTATTAATTGCTTTATGCCTGAGATGGCGACCTTGGCTGCGGGTGCAGTTTAGGCTGTGTCGGGCGTTAGGTTGAACGGGTAAGTTGCATTGGTGACAAGTGTGTGGCTGTGTAAGCGAGCATCCAAGTCTAAATCCTATAGTAACTCTCGGTTGTTCATTGGTTAAGAGATTATCTAAGATTTGACTTGGAAGTGCTTCGAGCCATTCGTGCTCTCCATATTTATCGTTGAATTGTAATAATTGTATATCGTTAATATCAGTAGGGTTAAGGCTATTTTGTAGGTTCTTTATTAGGGGTTTAATAATAAATTTGTTGGATATTTCGGCTGAAAATGTAAAACCGTCTGGGGTAAGTTGATTCCATGGTTTGATTGCTGCGAAAAGATCATCATTGAGAGTTAGGAATGATAAGATCGCTGAATTGAGGAATAGGCGATTTAAGATAAATAATGATAGGGGTAATAGTTCTAAAGGAATCATGTCGATATCACCTAGTTTAGCAAATAATTGTGCAAGGTGCCAATTAAGGTCCGATAATGAGAGGTTGAGGATTTTTTGTATAAATGTTTTTAAGCGAATATGTTGATTGAAAAATTTTGAGACGTTAAATGAGGAGGATGAGAGGAAAAGATATGAGATTTTAAGTAAACATATGTTACAGGGGAGTGCTATTGTTATAACAGATGTCTACGAAGCGCGAATATTGGGGGAATTTATCGTAAAAAGATTCAAGTGTCGAGGAACGTAAAATTGTATTGAAGGCATTCTTAAAATCGATGCATAACACGGAGTTTATCTGAGAGGCTATATCTACGCCTCCTTTAGTTCCGCATCCTAATTGGTATTTGCCCAGAAGGGACTGAGAATCGGATTCTATTTTTTTTGTAATTTTAGCTATCAGAAGCCTGAAAAGTGAACCGATTGCGATTGGGCAGATGCCTCCATTAGGTTTTTCGAAGCAACCAAGTTAGCACCAATTATAATCTAATGAGCTAATGTGGGAATATCTTTAGTAGTTATATTATTAAGGTAAGTGGTAAGTGAGTTAAAAATATTATTGGAATTATAAGATTTTAGAAATGTTTGGAAGTAAGATGGTTTATAGCCATCCAGGCCTGCTGCTGAAAATTTATTAAATTCTCTTATAGTTTCGTAAATATCTTGGTTTGTGATTATGAAAGGGGGGATATTGAGGGGTGGGTTTGGTAAGCTAGTGTAAGAGACGCGTGTATGAAGGGATTTTAGGTTAAGGGTCTCGTTGTTAAATGGAGCAAGTTTTGCTTGTGAAGATAATTTCTGTGCGCTGTTTATGTCGCCTTCATTTATTTTTTTTGATATTTTGTTGCAAGGTTTACTGAAACTTTCATTAGGATTATTGGGATTTTTAAACGTATTCTAATTGTGTTAAATTTTCCAATTTTTGAGTCTGTCTTTTATGAGGTTAGGTAGTGAGATAGATTTGTTATTTTTTTGGGATTGAGAGGCATAAGGGATGTAAAAGATTATTTCAATGATTTAAATTTGACAAATCTTTGTTAATATTATCAAATAATTTTGTAAGGTGGTCAGTGATCTGGTAATTAACACTAGATGGGATGTTTTTATTGTTGGTATTTTTTTGATAAAGATAAATTCTTCTAGGGATTCGTTATTTACCTGTATGTGTTTGGTATTAATTAGGGGCTCTATTAGTTTTGTGCAAAGTGTATTAAAACCTGAGGAAGGGAGAGCTTGGGGGCCATGTTTGTATAGATGGTTATCTTTTTTTATATTAATAAGTTTGTGACAGGAGGGCAGATTCTTTTCATGCTTATGATGAAAAGGTGTTTTAATACCAGAGAAGATTGTTAATTTGAGTCTAAGAGGAAACACTGGAGTAGGGTTATTTGCTGGTGTGTTGGTGTATAAGGGTTTTGTTGTAAATGGGTTCAGAATTAGTAATTATATTGAGTTCATGTAAATGTTGTTTTTTTCAAGATGAGGTGTTGTTAGTTGTTTCAATTGAAAGTGAGCTTGTTATATACTCTGAAATTATAGGTGCAGGTGGTATAGGAAAATTATTTTTCCATCCTTGGAAATTGATGACAAGATATTAGTGTTAATTGCATAAATCACCTTTACACAAACATTGTAAGGACTGGCTTATAATTATTAATTATGATTTTGGATCAACAAATTTGTTCTGAATTGAGATTTAGCATATTTTGGTAATTGATTGGACTCTATTTTTATTAACATCTATAAATCAAATTTTTTATTGCTAAAGAATTATTATTATTATTTGATTTAAAATTGAGAAAATTAATAGGTTGAATTGAATTTATAAAGCTATCATTATTGCGTGATAGGGAAAATATATATTGAACTTGAGGATTTTGGATTTTAATTTACTTATATAAAATGAGAATAATCTACTTTATTCAATTAGAATCAAATAAATGAGGTGTTTCTTGAGCTTTGAGAAGCAGCGTTTAGATGATACGAATGTTAAATGGGATAGTTATGATATTTCTGAATTCAATTGTATTCACAGGAGCTGGGCCAAAATTTTTATTTATTCACCAGCTGTCAAAAGTTTTTGAATCTTTGGCCACTCAGATTTTAGCATTTTATTCAATTTATCATCGTAGCAAATTATAACAAATATTTCTATGTATATTATCTTTATTAACTTATAAGCACTAAATAATGAGAAAATAGAATGTTATATATAACATAGTTTTTGTTTTGGAAAGCCACCATTTGTTGTTTATTTTTGTTTTTTTTTCTTTTATAACTTTTTTATTTTAATAGGGGCTACTAAACTGATTGAAGCAATAACTTCTGCTAACGAATGATGTTTCTTCGTTAGTACTTTCAATCGATTTTTAAGTGAAGTTGATCAACGATTTTGTTTTGCTTATGACTTTTTTCCTTAACTTCGGCTACACAACAGTTTGAAGTACTAACAAGCTAACTAATATCAAAAAAATGGTATGGCTAATTGTTAGTGATTCCAATCGTTCGGACAAATTCA